ACATTAGCTCAATCAATGAAAAACTTCAATCACCTAATTGCAAATCGAGTGGATGAATTGGGTATTGGTGTCCAAGACCTAATCATCCCACGCTTTCTAAAAACCAATCGGAAACGTCCAAAGGAGTTAGTCAATATTGCTATTCAAGTCCATCCAGCGATTAGAGATACCATTATTAGTGATATGGGGGGACAGGTCATGCTGGACTGGGAAACCATCCATGCAGAGGACATGAACCCTCTCACACAATGTTATAAATGCATGGGCTTTAATCATATCTCAACTAAGTGTCCATCTAAAGTATCCACATGCTCACATTGCGCAGGTAATCATGAATTTGAAAAATGCCCAAACAAAGCAAAACCGCCGACATGCTGCAACTGCAATATGGTAAAACAACAACAGACAGAGCCACACGGAGCACTAGATCATCATTGTCCAATATACCAGAGAATGCTCCAGAGAGCTNCCATCCAGCGATTAGAGATACCATTATTAGTGATATGGGGGGACAGGTCATGCTGGACTGGGAAACCATCCATGCAGAGGACATGAACCCTCTCACACAATGTTATAAATGCATGGGCTTTAATCATATCTCAACTAAGTGTCCATCTAAAGTATCCACATGCTCACATTGCGCAGGTAATCATGAATTTGAAAAATGCCCAAACAAAGCAAAACCGCCGACATGCTGCAACTGCAATATGGTAAAACAACAACAGACAGAGCCACACGGAGCACTAGATCATCATTGTCCAATATACCAGAGAATGCTCCAGAGAGCTATTGGTAAGGTATATCGTAATCTATAGCTATACATCCCGATTCCAGTCCTCCAGCCTATAACCAGATAATCCTCCCAATGTATTCCTGATCCATGCTATCTGTATTTCCTGTGCTTTCATTGATAATTATGCTGTCCATCCTGCCGAAAGAACCATATGATGATTGATCCTGCCAATTGTTGCCCAATCTCCATCGTACACAGCCGCTCGTAGTCTATCATGATAACAATAAAAAA